TAAAGTGGGGGTAGTTTTCGCTATTCGGGTACTTTCCTCGGGCGCTAACTGCCCCACATGAAGTGCGCATGTTTGCACGCTATCGACTGTACTAACGTTAGCGAGGATGGTCCGCACGGAAGTGGAGGCTGGATTTTCTGTCTGACGCGAAAAATGACTGGGGCCAGGCAAAGAAAAAAAGGAGTGTATTTTCACGAAAACGAAAGAATTTAAGCCTCAGAAATTTTGATTTTTTGACTGGTGGTTTCGTGGTCCATCGTCACACTAAGAAGTACCAAGTGTAAGCGAGTATACAAGAAGTGCTCGCGACATGCCGCCAACTTTTTGGCTTTAATGTGCTAAAGAGGACGGAGCAATTTTCGGTCTGTCGGGCAGGAAGATGGGGCTGGTTTCTCGGGTGGGACAAAATATCATAATAAGCGTTTGCTAAGACTATTCACAACGATTTTGGTAATATTCTGTCTGGGAATTAGTACGCAAAGGATGAAGGGGGTTAACCTTTGTCTGATCACGCTAATCAAAAAGTCGTGTTTATGTGGGAACCTGATAAAGTATGGTTGTCTTATTAATGAAAAATTATGTCGATTGTCGACCGTAGTCCTGAAAGAGCGCACACTTTTGTGATTAGTTTGTATTACTAAATACACGGACGAAGTGGGGTCCCGGGTGGTCATACGCGTGAAGAACTTCCCATGAGACTACACTGAACAAATAAGAACGTTAAGGAACTGCTTAGGCCTCAGGATCTGGAGGGTTATTAAATTCGGATATAGACACATCTAAAGAGTATATATAGTAGATAGGCGCTCACTAATCGCAAACGACAGGACGAACCCGTGGCTCAATACTTAGGGTGTTGGACTTCTAAGCAAAAGATCACAGGTTCCAGTCTGAGGAGGTACACAAAGTGGGGCTGGCTGTGGTTGGCTGGTGACCGCTTATAAACCAAAAATGGTCGCATCAATCTCCCTCGTCCTTGTCGGTAATGTTATTCTGATGATACTACTAATCACTGTCTGCTGGCAGGGCTCGAAAGTGAGTTCCAATGCTCAATGGGACATCGGAGTCGAAGACAATCAACCACCCAAACGGATCCGGTTCCTTTATTCACCGAATAGGCAGGCAGACGTTCATCAACAGTAAGATAGATATCCCATAGAAAAATCGACGAACGTACGAGGGGAGTAATCGTGTGGATTCTAGTAATGAAACACTCATGTTACTGGGAGCGAAGGCGTTCTGCAAACTATCAACCGACTGGAAGAGGCCCTAAAACAATAATCTGCATTGTTCAATTTTGCGTAATTAATTATTGTACCCTTCGCCCACACTCTTCCCTTCACCTTTCAAGTCAGACAGGGTCAAATAAAGACTAAGTATGCCCAACTAGAATCAGGGAGCTGCCGTAGAACATGAGAACACGCGGAGGTGTTCGAATAGGTCAACAGTTGTTATAGCAACAACCATACAACGTGCATGTGCCTGTGCCTGTGGAGAAATAGACAAAAGAACACCATCGGCAAAGTGTCATCTGGCTCCAGAATGAGTCAGCGTGAATAGGCTATGTGCGATCCGAGGCCGAGAGAAAATGGAGAAAAAACAAAACACCAGCATGCGCGCATGCAGGCGCACTGCAAAGCGGGGGAGAGCGAAGGGAGTGTGTGCGTTCAACACAACCTGGCGGTGCCGGTGGCGATGGCAACACACACACACACGCACACGCAGGCGCACTAATAGGACGAGGGTATACACGCCTGGGTGGTCTCAATCCCTGCCAGCTCCCTCTCTCTCGCTCTCTTTTTCTAGCCGGCAGAACCGTCCCGGTCA